ATCCTGAACCCTTAGCTTAGTTGAGTCCTGCTGACAAAGGCTTTCATGCCCTCCGCCCCACCCATGTACCTCCTCTTCACAGCACTGATCTCAGTTAGTAATGTGTTTTGGAGGGTGTGTTTGTTTAATATCCAGAGCTCCCATCGGACCATAAAGGCTCATGTCTGTTTTGTTTCCCTGCTATGTTCCTGGGGCTCAGAAGAGTGTGCCTGGTATAAGAGATGCTCAGTTAACAAGTGCTGAAAATTTGAATGAATACTCGAGTAAGTGAATAAAGGAGAGAAGTGAGCCTTGGACCAAAATGAATTTGTGAGGAGGTAGGAATCTGGACACAAGTAGGATATTACTGTCCTCACCACTCTGGCTCTGTTAGCTTCTGTGAGCAGGGTAAGAAAGGCTGAAGAGCAGATCCTCCTCTATGTGCCAGCTGAGTGGGCAGGAAGGGCTAGTGTATATTCAAAGCTCACCACCACGGCGATAGCCACTTGGCAGACCAATGTCACCTCTACTCTGCTACCATTGGCCACCCCGGCCATCTCCTACTCCTGCTCTTCTCTAGAGCCTCAGGGCCACTCTCCTCTTCCCATAGCCCTCTGGCCCTCCCAATGTGAGAGCTGATCAAGCTTCAAGGACAACTCATTTCATTCGACCTCAAAGAGCTGGGCAGAGGTGGGCTCTCAGCAGAGAGGTATGGATTCCTTGACTCCCATCATAGTCTTTGGGTCCTGGTGCCCTCCTCCATGTCAATATTCTAAATGGGAGCAGGCTCCAGACCTCCCACTCTTCCTTTATGAGGCTGGGTGGGGCAGGTGCCCAGGGATTTAGATAATTCCTACAGAAATCCATCCATCTTCTTTGCCAGGACCATCTCTCTGGGGAAGCATTCAACTGCCCTTGAAGGTTACCAAGAACCTGTGATTTCGCTTAATCCCCTGCACCCCCACTGCTGGTTTCCCTGAAGCTCTGGATTCATTGCTCATCCTTCCCTCATCTTTAGGGCTTCCCTGATAGCTCAGTTGGTAAAGAATCCACCTGCAATGCAGAAGACCCCGGTTTGATTCTGGGGTTGGGAAGATCCCCTGCAGAAGGAATATGCTACCCATTCCAGTATTCTTGGGCTTCACTTGTGGCTCAGCTGGTAAAGAATCTGCCTGCAATGCAGGACACCTGAGTTTGATCCCTGGGTTGGGAAGATCCCCTGGAGAATGGAAAAGCTACCCACTCCAGTATTCTGGCCTGGAGAATTGCATGGACTATATATTCCATGTGGTCTCAAAGAGGTGGACCCAACTGAGCAACTTTCATTCATTCATTCTCTCATCTTGAAATTCACTCTTCCTTGGCATTCTTTTTTTTTTCTTAAAAAAAATCTGCTTGTTTATTGATTGATTCTGTTCCCCAGAAAGTACAAATCTCTATGACTCTAATAATTATTTAGATATTACCAAGAATGGACTCATACAGCCATAGAATACCAGTGCTGGGAAGGCTCTTAGAGTCCATCTAGTAAAATCTTATTTCATCAAGGCATGGATTGAATGAAATCATCAAAACTTGATCAATTTTGGCTCTCAAAAACATAATTAAAAATTTTTTTTTCATTGGTGGATAATTGCTTTACAATGTTGTGTTGGCTTATGCCACACAACCACGTGAATCAGCCATAAGAATATGTATGTCCCAACACTCTTGAACCTCCCTCCCACCCCCAACTCCATCCCACCCTTTTAGGTTGTCACAGAGTACCAGGTTGCCCCCTGGCATTCTTATAGAACTTCTGCCTCTGTGATTCCTTATTCTCACTTGCTGCCCCATCTTTTCTCCCCCAAAGCTCTAAAAGTCTCAGTCCTTCCTATTCTCTCAGTCTCTCTCTCTCACTGGCCTACCCATTCCTGCAGCTTCAGGGATCACTGCCAGGTGGAGTATCATTCTGCCTTCTGACTCTGCCCGGAAGCACTTGCCTGTAGGATAAACTCAAAGGCCTGAGCAAAACCCTCAAGGATGCCACCATCTTCCACTTCTCGTGCAGAACCGCAGCTGCCCAGACCATATGAGACAGGACTAACCCAGCCAAAGTTACTCTTACAGTACATTTCTGCCTTGCCCAGCTGGTCATCATGTCTCCCAGAAGGGAGGCCCTGTGTACAGGGTGTGTTCAGAAGGACTATCTCCCAGAGTTGAAGGAGACTTGGGCAATGAGCTTGAGCACCCATGAGGGCTGCTCTCCTGGGAGGGTAGCAGGTGGCAGCCTGCCACCTGGGTCCCTCACCCCCAGGTGGAGAGGCATGCACTACACAAGGCCTCTCTCCCAGGATATGAGTAAATGGTGGTGTGAATGGATGATGGCAAAGAGGTTTGGGGTTTGAAACCATGTCATTTGGGGACTGAGAGGATAAGGAGGCATTTGAGGACTATCAAAGGCTGAAGATCCAAGAAGGTGTCACTGGATGTGGGGCTCAGGAAGCATCTCTTGGTGGGATTCATAGGAATAGACTCCTTGGCCCTCTGGCTAAAGTCCTTCACTTTGGCCAGGCTGGACCACACACCCTGCACTCGGTTGTTTGTTCACTGGCTTATGTCTTATCTCCCCTTCAGACTGGAATCTCCACTAAGTGGATTCTCCACTATCCTGCTTTCTGGTGCTCTAGGCATTCCATCAATGTTTGCTGAGTGAATCAGTGAACCAAACATTGCCCGTTTCCAATTCTTTGCTTTTGTTCTGTTTCCTCCTTGTAGATGCTCTGCTCCCCCACCCCCATTTCTCTTTACTTGTCAAACCACCGCCCCCATCCTTTAAGGCCCATTGTAATGATGTCCTTCTGATTCTCTCAGCTTGGAGCCATAACTCTTCACACTGAATCTCTGTGGCACATGGCTTGGCACTATCATATTACTTTACACTCTTTGCTTTGGGTTATAATGACTTCTGCACCCATCTTGGTCCTAGTAGAGAGTGAGTTCCTTGGGGGTGGGGCAATATACATCATTTGTATATTCTTCCTTCCCTCCTCCCTGGCACAGTGCTTTCTATGCAGTAGGCTCAATATAAGAAGGCAAGGGTATTGATTGTTGTCAGTGGCCTCTTACTGGTCCAGATACTGCTTTTTTAAAGCCCAAGGTGGGGTCCCTGAGCCTCCTTTCCCTGGGCTGAGCACTCGGCCCTGCTGACTGGATCACGTCCAAGGTCTGCCTCCTCCCTCCCCCACCAATCCCTGCTCACACGTTGCCTAAATCTTGCCCTGCCCAGTACCATTTCAGATATTTGCATGGCCTGACCACAGCAAGGTAGCAGGGGAAAGACTGGGCTGTATGGATAGTCTGGTCCTCCTAGGCCCTTTGGCAAGCACCCAGGAGAGCAGAGATTGCCTGATATGGAGGGAGCTGGGCTCCAGGGCCCCTGTATGGTCCCCATGCCCTCATTACAAGTAAAGCATAGAGTGAACCTAGGGCATGTCTGTGTCTCCAAGCAGTGTTGTGCTGACAGAGGCAATAACAGGATGTGTGCGTGAGGGGTGGGGGTGAGTGAGTCATCAGGGAAGGGCAGAACCCAGAGGAGCTCACAGAATAGATCTTCCCCAACCCTTGCTGTTTGGGCTGCCAGAGACTGACAGGCAGTTCTTCCGGGGAGATTTAACCCTGGTATTTCGAGGGTCTTCATCCCTGAGTCAGACCCAACACCCACGCTTGGTCCAGAGGTTTTTAAACACTGGATTTTTGCAGAATCACCTTTGGTGTTTGTTCAATAGAGATGTCTAGGGCTGCCTGGACACCCGATTTGCACCCTGACTTGTAGATCTGGTCCATTCCTCATATCCCTAGGGAAATTCTTACCATGGTGCCAGCTTCTTGCTGAGATGCCCCTGGGATGCCTGGAAAAGGAGGCAGCCTTAGAAAGCAAGATCAAGATCAGGGGTCAGGCTGCAGGTAGTGAGGGTAGTGAGTGGATAGGTGACAGAGGAAGTGCTTGCTGGCTGGAGGTGAGCAGAAGGCTGGGCTGACAAAGGAGCTGCACCTGAAGGGCTGCTTGGCCTTGGTTGATTAGAATAGAATTGGTGGAACTGGGGAAGTTGGGAGCTGGAAGGGTCAGCTCCCCCCTGATACTCAGAAACAGAAACCCGCCCCCTACAAAGATATAAAGCTATTCATCTGCAGTAGTCAGCAAGAGACACTAATCTGTACTTTTGAGAAGAATTCAACAAGCAAAGTTTGCTGAGCTCACTCAGAGAAACTTGTAGGAGGTTGCAGGAAACCCAGCAAGGACCCTGAAAACACACATGTGTGTGTGCACGAGCGCACACACACACACACACACACACACACACCATCTAGAACATGCATGCACGCGTGCATACACACACACACACAGTCTAGAGGACTAATGTAGTGGCTCAATGCAGACTCTAGAACTGACGTCCTGAGATCAAATTCCAGCTCTTATATGGGTCCTCAGCCACCTTAACCGTTAATGCCTCACTTTTCTTCTCAAAAAAAAAAATGGGGCTATTCATCATCCTACTTCATCAGATTATCATTAAGATTAAATGAGTTATATACAGAAAGAAGTTAGAGCAGTGCCTGCTATATAGTAAGCATCATACAAGCAGGTGCTGTTGTCATTATTATTATTTTAGATTTAGAGTATGGATATCTAGGACGCAGCACCCAGGGCAGATCTGTTTAGACTCTTGCTCTACTCGGAGTTTGGTCCACTGACCAGAAACATCACGAGCTCATTAGCAATGCAGTCTCGGCCCTGGTCCTAGATGGACTGAATCAGAATCTGCATTTGACAAGCGTCCAGGTGAACAGGTGAGCACAATGAAGTTTGTGAAGCACAGCTGTAGAACACACAAGAGAACACGCCCAGAAACTCGACTGGGCTGTTTTGGGGAAGGAGGCTGACAAGGGTTAAGCTGCCCTGTCATGGGGTCCGCACTGCCTGGAAAGCCCCCACATCCTTGTCAGTGTGGGCATTTTACATGAGGACGCGGTCTGGGTCCTTACACATCGGTGTGTGGGGACGCCCTGGTGCCCGGGACCACTGTGGGGGCGCGGTGGCTGAGGCCGCCCCCCCAGAGCCCAGAGGATGCTGTGAGGTCAAGAGGTGGTTTGCTGGAGTACCAGGTGCTTAGGAGGTGGTCCACCTGCTCCTGACTGGAGACTGCGCGCAGGTGGGCCTTCCCACTTCCACCGTCCAGGCCTTCTGGGGGTTCGGGCTTCTCAGGGGTCTCCGGACCCCTACATGCAGAGTCCCGGCGCAGTCCCCGCGCCCGCATCTCGCTCTGCATGCTGGCGAAGAAGTGTAGCACGCAGCGGTGCGCAAAGTCCCGCGCGTGCTCACAGCACGTCTCGTCGAAGAGCTTCTGCTCCAGGTCCACGTAGTTGCTCCAGTATCTGCGCTGCAGGAGAATTGTCTGGTCGAAGCAGGGCCTCAGGCAGCGGGCCAGGAAGGCCAGGAGGATCAGCAGCAGGGTGAGACTCCAGCCAATGGCCTAGAGGGTGGGGAGTGCTAATGTAAGCGTTCAGGCACACACGTATTGTACAGTGTGGCAAGGGTGTTCCCTTTCCTTATCCCTTCCATCCATTTTCAGGTCTATCCGCCTTCCAATTCAGTCATCCATTCTACCAACTACCTCCATCCATCCTCCCTCCCATTCATTCATTCCTCCTTCCATCCATTTTCTATCCAACTCTCTCTCCACCCATCTCATCATCCATCCTCTTATCTGACTATATATCTATTGTCTTCCTATCAAGTCACCCTGTCAACCATGCTCCTATCTGTCCATATCCCCCTATCCAACCATCTATCCTACCATCCATTCATGTTCCCATACTCTCATCCTTGCTTCCATTTATCTCTATCCAATCATTTATCCACTTGTGATTTATCCCCCCTGCCTTCCTCCTGAACAAACACACCTTACTCCTTTAGTTTCCCCCCATGTATTTATTTATTTTCCCACAGTTTCCACCCTTGGAAGCATAAAGCTGCTTTCCTTTGTCCTGACATTTCTCTACAAAGGTATTATTCATAGCTGAAGATGCTATATAAGCCACAGTTCTAAGCCACCGCTTAGAGTGACTCTGTTTTAGGTTCCCCCTGCCTGATGAGCACTGCACACAATAATAAACTGTTTATTTTCTTCCTGTTAATCTTTCTTTTTGTTATAGTCTCAGCTGAAAACCTAAGGTGGGTGGAGGTAAAGTTTTGCCTTCCTTGCACTCCCATCCATTCATCTGTACATCCACCCATCATCCTTTCATCTTTATCTGGTTCTTCATCCATGCTTATATATGTGCATCCATCCCATTTATGCATCCATCCATCCTATATTTTCGGGGAGACACAGAGGACTTAGTCTTTGCTCTCATAAAGCTAACACTTTAGTGGAAGTTACAATGACATAGGTGATGACTGATAAAGTGCCATGTTGAGGGATGTATCTTGGGTCATGGAAATTCAGAGAGGGGACACCTGACCTGAATTTGAGGCCTCAGAGAACTGTGAAATTGAGGCTGAGACCTGAAGGCTGATGATAGTTTACAAGATGTTAACAGGAAACAGTGTTCCAGGCCAAGAGTAAAGAGAAGCTGAAAGTAGTTCTCTGAGGCTGGAGCCCCAGCCTGGCCAGCTCCTGGCCTTCCCCTCTGCCCAGCCAAAGGTATTGAGACATTGCCTAAGACTAGAGCAACTTTATAGACCTGGAGCAGAGAAATCATCCTCTAAACCACAAGACTTATTTGAATCCTTAACATTTGTAAAGGTGATTGACAAAGCTTTCTGCCTGGCCTCTCACAAGGCCCTCCCCTCCCCCCACTCTAAGTTTAAAATGTTTGTGTGAGTATTTTACTTGGAGGAGCATTTAATGTGACTGATCATTTACAGCTGAGTCAGGACTGAGACTTCTACACTATTTCCAGTGAACTAGTGTACAGTGTTTACATCCACAGGGACATCAAGTTGAGTAGACCGAACCTCCATTTATTTTGCAGAAGGACCTGAGGCCCAGAGGGGAATGGGCTCATGGCCATGGTCACAGTCTGAAGCAGAATCAAGTGTGTCCCAAGCACTGGTCTTCTCTTTGCCACTCCACGGGCCTGCATTTGCCATGAGCCTGTCCCGACACCCTCAGAGAGCTAGGGTGTATCTCCAGTGATGCTCTGCACGTGGTGGGACCATGTAAACACTTTTGGGGAGACATAGTCCAGGCTGGGCTCTGGCAGTGGTGAGGGTGGGATCTGGAGCTTGGGCTGGGGTTTGTCCCCAGGATAATGGATTCTGTGCTCTGTGGGGAGCCAAGCATCTGGAGAGGACCTGCATAGTAGGGGAGGGTTTGGAGGAATGGCATTTCAAATTCCTGCCCAGCCTGTTACAAACTGTGTGCCTTTGGCCTTGTGAACTAAACTCTCAGAGCCTCAGTCTCCTCATCTGCAAAGTGGGACGATCATGATTGCATCTATCTCATAGGGCAGTTTTGAGAATTAAATGAAGTAATGCATGCGAAATGCTTAACACAGTGCCTGACACATAAGTGTTTCATAAGTGGTAATTAGTGTTATTTCTGAGGGGTGGGCAGAATGTGTGTGTGGGGTGGGGGCAGGGTAGTGCAGTACGTCTGCAGCGTTTTCCTGCCATCCAACCTGGAGATGAGCCTAGCTGACTCCAGAAGGGTATGGACACCTGGTCTCCACCCTGAGGTGAGTCAGTGTTGATGGCAAAGTGCCCACTTCCTAAGGCCTGGCACTGTCCCTTGTGAGGGTCATGTTTCTTACCCCCCCACAGGGACCACATGCCCTGCGGTTGCGTCTCTAGCACTGGGAAGGGGGCCTCAGGAAACCATGTGTACCTCCTCACCCCGTGCCCCTGGGAACCAGTGCAGGACATGTCCCAGGGCAGGGAGAGGACCCCCCCACCCCGAATTACCTGTGACAGGCACCGCAGGTAGCGAGACACCGCCTTCCGAGCGGGGCTGTTCCTGACCAGCTCGTCCTCCTTGCAGGGCACCTTGGCCAGAAAGAGCTGCACCTGACTAGGGGTCATGTTGGCAAAGTCTAGAAACTTCTCGGGGTCCACGGAGCTGCTGAACGCGCACACGAAGCACTTCCCGTCGAGGAGGGCCAGCAGGATCCAGACGAGGGGGGCGGCCAGCGCTCTCTGTAGTACAGAGGAGCACATGTACCTGGGAACAGAGGAAGGGAAGGGGAACACAGGGCAGCCAGAATTCAGCTGCAGCAGGAAGGCTACAGGGGGGATGTGAGGATGAACTTCCCAGGACTGTTTGGTTACCCCAAGGGGAGGGTTGCAGCTCCCACTGCAGAGGCCTGAGCAGCAGAGGGTGGGGGAGAAGCACAGCTGGGGTCCTGGGAGCCCTGGGACTGGAACACTGGGGAGCTGGTGTTCTTCCTGCCTGAGCCTTTGTAGCAAACTCTGTTGGTGCTCTGCCCAGGCCAGAAGCATCTAGAGCTTTGGTGGGTAGTTTCTAGTCATGTGGAGGGCCTGAAGACCTCTGACCTCAACCCCCTGCGTGGCTCTGTCTGGGGCTTTGGAGGAGTCCCTGCTCCCAATGGGGGGTGGCCTGGAGGGTTCATGTCCCCACATCGACCTCAATCCCAGAAGGCGGGGTGGTAGTTTAATGCCCCAGCATCCGGGACCCTCAGTGGAACGATTCTGAGGTGGGTTCTACCCACTCCCTGAGGCTCCTCAGAAGGACTGAGCCCCAGTTGCCTCCTTATTATCACTTCTTCCCAGAGCCTGCTTTTGGGGGGACCCTAAACTAAGAGGGGGACAAGGCTATGGCACCCCACTCCAGTACTGTTGCCTGGAAAATCCCACGGATGGAGGAGGCTGCGGTCCATGGGGCCGCTAAGAGGGTCCCGTGGAATGACCTGCCCAGAGACGGCACTTGCACACCTCCCTGCAGTGTCCAGGGGGCTCCTGATTGTCCCCAGGTGCCTCTTTTGACCTACTACATCTAGTGGCCTGAATTGGGTGTTGGTCACCGGACAGGAGCCCAGTGGAGCTGCAAGCACGAGACCCTAGGGGAAAAGCCTCCCTGCGTGACTGAATCACAGGGAGCTGGGAGCCCCTGGGAACATAAAAGAGAGGCCGCTTGTGCACAGAATGCAGGTGTTTTTAACTTGCGTGTGTGCTCAGTCACTCAGTTGTGTCTGACTCTTTTTGACCCCACGAACTGTAGCCTACCAGGCTCCTCTGTCCATGGGATTCTCCAGGCAAGAATCCTGGAGTGGGTTGCCACACTCTCCTCCAGGGAATCTTCCCCACCCAGGAATCGAACCTGGGTCTCTTATGTTTCCTGCATTGGCAGGCAGGTTGTACACAAAACATAGGATGGTGTGTGCTGGCTGTGTGTGTGTGTGTGTGTACATGGCCTACCTGGTGGTGAATTATAAATATGTTGTAGGCAGGGGTGGCTCCATCATTTTCTATGGGGGTAAGGTAGTTAGAAGGTGGAACCAAAGACCTGTTATGAAGTAACATGACATGCCCTTGAGAACACCCCAGTTGTCCATATCAATAGGGGAGAGGAGAAGATCGTGAGTGAACTAAAACCCACCAAGCCTCTCCTGCCACTGCCCGTGGATCTAGAGCACTTAGGTATTTTCTCTAAAACACTCAGGGCAGCGGTTCCAGGTTTGACTTGAATCGGAGCCTCTTCCTTGCTGTGGGAGCTCAGCCAAGTGACTTAACCTCTCTGTGCCTCAGGTCCTCCATCTGTAAAAATGGATCCAAGACAGGAGCAGATCCAGGGCCGAGGTGAGAATTCAGAGGCCATGCACACACAGCACTTGGCACAGAGCTTGGCTCACTGTTGGCCAGGGAACATTATGAAATGCTTAAGTCCGTCAGCTTTTCTTCTCTTTTTTTCGTCTGTGCCACGTGACTTGCAGGATCTGAGTTCCCTAAGCAGGGATTGAACCCAGGCCATAGCAGTGAAAGAGTAAAAATGCCGAGCCCTAACCACTGCACTGCTGGGGAATTCCCCATCAGCTTTTCTTGATATAGGGCACCGACCCGGGTCTGAGGACACAGTGATAGCAGATGAGGTCTTTGCCCTCAGGGAGCTTGCAGGAGAGGGGATGCAGCCTTCAAGCCAACCAAACCTCTCATATGTGTAATACGGTATGCACATCATGGGATGGTTCTTCATGCATGTGGGGAGTTACAATCCATGGCCAGCAGGACAGACATGACCTGGATAATTCTTAGGAATCCTGTGTCTTTCCCACGTCTTTATCATTGGGCATGGAAAGATTACAGACAGAAATATCTGTTTCCAGAGTGGAGACTGGCAAATCTGTCTCAGTGAACTGATGGTGCCTTGGTATCATTTTCTGGGGGAGAGCAGGGGGCACATCTGAAAGTAGGGTGCCTGTGGGGGTGCCCAGGGGAGCCCTGACCATGCCCATGGGGGTCACTGGGGTTTGGGGAGCCCCTGGCAGTGCTTATGCAGTTGGGGGAGCCCCTGACAATGCCCGTGGGGAGCTGGGAGATGTGGGACCGCACCTGATGATGCCCGGGTCCTTCCTCCGGTGCCCGGCAGGCCGGCGCCACTCTTCCACCATCACCACGGACTGCCGGTTGGCCAGGAGGCCGCAGAGGAACAGGGCGATCGGGGGCGTGAACAGCAGGCCCAGTCCGTAGAGGGCATTGTAGCGCGCCAGGCAGGGGCAGTTGAAGTCAAACGAGGAGTACAGCTTGACGGTGACCATGGCCAGCAGCAGGCAGATGCCGTTCATCACCGACTCGGAGCTGGACTGGAAGTGCTGGAACAGCGTGCGGAATTTATCCATGGCTGCGGCCTGGGTGGGGGGCAGCTAAGGGTGGGGGGCAGGGAGGCTCCCGCTGCCTTCCTGTTCAATGCCAGCCACGCTGCGGGCAAGCCGGGGGCTGCAAGAGGTTCTTCCAAGGGCCCGAGGGGACTAGGAGAAGACGGCGTCCGGCCAAGGGTGTGAGGCAGAGGCAGGCTCTCGCTACAGACTCCCCTGCCCGGCCCAACTGTCTCCTACTGCTCCCCTCCTCTCTGGGAGATGAGTCACTGATCTGTGACTGGCCAGCCCACAGCACCTCTAGGCAAATGGGCCCCACCCTTTCCCTCCATCCCTCCCCAGCCGATTCCTTCCTTTCTTCAGGGTTTGGATACTGAAGTGGGACAGCTGGTGGGGCTGCCCGTGGGGGACAGGCAAATTCTGGGTATGGTTAAGGCCATGGCACTGATGGAGCCAGTTACATTTTCTGGCTCTTGGTTAAGAACATGGCTTAGCTCAGCTGAGCCCAGGGAGCTTTCACATTGGTTTTTGTGCTGGGAGGAGCCTGGAGGGGCGCCTTACCCTATCTGAAGACATCCTGGAAGAGAAGTCTTTTGAAGAGCATTTAAACTGTTTTAGTGTTTGCCCGGGTTGGGGAAGGGGAGGTCTTCTAGATGGAGGGTACTGCTTGGTCAAGGGCATGGAGGTGAGAAGCAGCCAGGTGTGGGTTGGCAGTTTGGGGTTCTTGACTGTAGTGTCAGATGGGGGGCGTTGGGAGAGGGGGTGGGGGCTCAGTGAGTGCCTGTGACCCTTTCCTCCACTTTATTCTGCTGCCCTTCAGGTCTGGCCACTGGCCAGCCCAGGTCTCCCTAAAGCACGGTTCCCACTACATAACTCCTCTGCTCTAGTGTGGCCGGGCCCCCTCAGCCTCCTTGTCATGACATTCAAGGCCCTCATGTTTGCAGATGCCTCCTCCCCTGGAGAACCCATGTCCCTTCCTCTCACTTGCTCTGCAAGAGGCAGCTCGGATGCAGCCCTTTCCTCAAGCTGCCCCTGGTGACCTTAGCTCTTGGGAGCCTCTCCTCCCATTTGGCCCTTGGAAAGGCCGCTCCTGCCTGCTGCTCCTGCCTCCCAGGTGTGGGGTGGGTCTCCGAGCTAGGATGGGACCTGCCCTCACACCTGCCCATCCCTGCAGCCTCCAGCAGGGTGCCAAGCACACCACAAGGGCGGCAGAGGTTTGTTCTCTGTGATGTTGACACTCATTCCCCCTGCTTCCATCTCTAGCTTTGTCCTCTCCGCCCAGGTCCTGACCTGCACCTGCCTCTCTGTCTGCTCCTAGGAAGCAAATGGAATGAAGATGCTGCTTTTAGCTCTCTCTGTCTCTCTCCCTCTCTCATTCTGTTTGTCTCTCCATCTCTGACTCTGCCTTTCTCTGTGTTGTGACTCTCTGTGTCCCTCGGCATGTGTGTCTGAGTCTTTCCGTGTGTCTTTCTGTCTCTGTCCCCCTCTCTGTCCTGCAGTCTCTTCCTATCTATCTTTCTCTCCTCCTCACCTGCAGCCCACCCCACAACACCCTGTCTTCCTGGCCCCCAGTCCTGACCCTCAATGGCCCCTAGTCCTGACCCAGGCAGCCTGACTTGGGGAGGGGAGTGGAGGCAGCCAGAAGAAATGCTCCTGGTCACAGATCCATAGGCGTGGCCTGAGCCTGGGCAGGGAGTGGGGGAAGCCCAGGCTCTTCCTCAATCTTCTCCCCTCTATCCCTCACTGGCAGCTCAGAGCTGCCCCTGAGCCAAGGAAAACCTCAGGCGCTGGGGTGCCCTTGACTCCACTGACGCCTGCTCCATCCAGCCTGGACCAGTGGGCATCTGGGACCCCCAGGGATGTCACCAGCACTTGCCTCACACGGTCACAAGTGCCACTCCCATGAGCCCTCTGGAGCACAGGAGGCAAGTATCTTTCTGAGTCCTTCCGGGCCCAGGGGCTCAGCAACACCCTCCAGTCTTCACAGAGCCCATCTGCACTGTGGCATCTGCACTGATCGTCCTTCTTCCTGTAATTTCAAACAACTTTTAGACAATGGAAATATCTCTATCTTTTTTTTCTGATTAAACACACCATTATGAAAAAGATAAAAATAGAAAATTGAGTGTCCCCATGACTGCCCTCCCCTCCCGCTGCCCCGGGCCCCTGGAGTCTCCTTGTCCCCGTATCAGTGTGTGTTGCCCCACGCTGGCATGCCATGCCGTTGGTCTACCCAGCCTTCCTCTGGAGACTCCGGGGGCCACCGAGTGAAGCTCTGGGTGAGCTACTCACCTTCCTGGGGCCCTGGGACTGCTGGGAGAGGGGACTTCCATCTGAGGCCAGTCTCCCCCTTCTCCTAACCCTCATGATACAGGAGGACTCACTGTGTTTCAGTTCCTCTGAAAAATGAGAGCCTGGCAGTTTGAGGGACCCCTGGGACCTGCCACATGAATGCTGTGTAGATCATTTAGCCTGTAGTTTAAGTCAGATGGTCTGCAATATGTCCTGCAAACTTGTTATCTGTGCAGTCTCTACCTCTGATGAGTAGTTACTCTGGTAGTAACAGACAGAGGCCTGGTTCCCATTCTTTGTAGTTTATCCAGCGATGTGCTTTCAGGACCTGTGTGAGGGAGGGGTGAAGGGGGAGAGGGAGGGGCATGGAGTGTGACTTTGTTGGGAGGGGAAGGGAGAGGAGAGGGGAGGGAGGGAGGGGAGGGAGAGGTAAGAGGGGACAGGAGAGGAGGTGGGAGAGTTAGGGGAGGGGAAGGGAAGGGGAAAGGGGAGGGGAGGGTAAGGGAGGGCACAAGTTCTAGAGAAACCTTTCTAGCCTGTTATCATCCTGGGCTTAACTAGCAGAGAACCGCCACCATCACCACATCCCTGGGGCAGGGGAGGATGCAGGGCCCCGGAGAAGCTGGGTGTCATGTCCTTGATCACACAACCTGGTGGGGACAGGGCCAGGAAGGAAGCTGGGCTCCTCCTCTGTGCCTCCCAGCCCTAGTCAGCCTCAGGGCTGCTGCCAGGAGAGGAAATTGTCTGGCTAAGGCTGTGCTTCTCAACTCTGAACCACCTGAGAACAGAGGGGAGAGAGGTGGGCTGAGAAGATCTGAGCACTCAGCTCTCCCATTCTACTTTGAGGGAGGGGAGAGTGGGCAAAGGGCCGCCAGCTGCCTCTAACCTTGGGAGTCTCCAGAAAAGAATGGACAATGGGGGCTTCCCTGGTAGTTCAGTGGTTAAGACCCTGTGCTTCCAACGCAGGGGACCGGGGGTTGGATCCCTGGTCGGGGATCTAAATCCCAGGTGCCACAACTAAGACCTGTGCAGCCAGATAAATAATTTTGAAAAAGAGAAAGAATGGACAATGCGTCTGGGAGAACACTGCAGAAAACTGGGACAAGGTCTCTCCTAGGCCAGCCTGCTCATAGCTCCAACCTCTAGGAGGTGAGACAGCCCTCCCAGGTCAACCTGGGCCCTGCGCCTCACAGGAAAGGAGAACCAACTGGTGTGACTGCACTGGCCCTTGCTGGGTATTTACTGGAAAACACTCAAGCCAAAAAAAAAAAAAGCAAAAAGGAAACCCAGCACAACTTAAAGGGATGTTACCTCTCAGGGTGAGCAGGTGGCTTTACATTTTAAAAAATTCTGTATTTTCTAAATTGTCTATTTTGTAATAATGATTTTTTAAATTTCCCAATAGAAATCATAAATATTTTTTACTGGAAAAACTCAAAGGGATTAAGAGACAAGGTAAAAGGGAGAAAGATCACCTTTTGTTGCCTGGAGCTCAGGCCTGTTGAACAAGGAGAGGCAGAAATAGAGGGAAGATAGAAGAAAGATTTGTTATTCATGTGTGTGGAAAGCATATTAACTTGTAGATGTGCTGCAGAATAATGCCTCAGATCTGATTCTTCTAAACTCCCTACCCCACCTTGGGGTACCCCATCTTTTTTTTTTTTTAAGATTTTTTTGATGTGAACCATTTTTAAAGTCTTTATTGAATTTGTTACAATACTGCTTCTTTCTTATGTTTTGGTTTTCTGGCCTCAAGGCACATGGGATCTCAGTTCCCCAACCAGGGATCGAACCAGCACCCTCTGCATTTGGAAGGCAAAGTCTTAACCATGGGACCACCAGGGAAGTCCCCAGATCTTTTAACTCTGGAAAATGTTTTAAAGTCAGATTTTCATTTTAATGTTAACTTAAATCTATTTAGCAGTTTTAAATATGTGCTAACTTGCAATTGGAAGATCTTTATAGAACAAGTCTTTGGTTTCTTTTTTCTTTCTCAACTTGGGGTCTTGCAGATATGTTATTGGGGGCCCCCCAGATTTTTATTTCCTTCAAAAGGAAAAAGGAATCTGGGTGTTATTTGAGAAACACTGGCGTGACTGTTCTTGGAATTCCTGTGATGGAGAGGGCTCTTTAGGACAGGGTGCCCCCTTCTAGGGGAGTCGGTGTGTCTGATGTGTGTGACATGTGTGTGGGGGGAGGTGGTATCTGTGGGGGTATGTGTAGTGTGTGTATAAGTGTGTGTGTCTTCAGAAACACAAGTGCGGCTGTGTTTCTTCTTTCTGGATAGAGAGCACACTCTCCCCTGAGGTTTCCTTCAGAAGGAAGACACTGGGTGTGTGGCCCACTTTCCTGTCAGGACTGGGAGGCTATTGTTCCCTAGTGTCTCTCAGAGCTGTGGTGCCCTCTCGTTCCTTGAGAGACCTGACCCTCTTCTACAAAATGACAGAGGCCTCTGTGGGATCTGGGTGACAGGCCTTTCTGGTCTGTCTCTGGCAGAGAGAGACAGAGCAACGTGGCATTTCTGTGGGCTCCACTCTGGTGACTTTGTAGAGCCACACAGCCCTGAGGGGCTGAAAAGAGAATGAATAAAAAGGGGGGGAAAATGGCACTCTGAAAAATGGCACTGGAACAACTGGCTAACCATTTAGGAAAATGTAGGTGAATTTCTTCACGATCAGAGGCAAGGGAAGGCCGTTGTGAACAGAACACAGACTTCAGTAGTTGTGAAGAAGAAAATGGATAAAGTGGGCCCCACCACTTCTGTGAGCAAAATGCCAATAGCAAAGTAAAAATTACAAAAAGCTGAAAAAATCCATTTTTTTCATAAACTGCACACAAGGCCTATTTCCTACACACAAGCTGCACAAAGGCCTATGTCCTTAATTTGTGTATGCAGAGGAATCATATACATCAGTAAAAAAAATGAGCAAACCTCTGAAAAAATGGGCAAAAGATGTGAATAGGCTATTCACAGAAAAGGAAAGACAAGTGGCCCCAAATCCTGTGAAGATTCTAGTCCTTACTCATAATTAAATATGTATATGAACATCCAGGTGCCTTTTCAAACTTACCAAGTTGTTAGAAACTAAAAGACTGGTAATACCCAATGTCCATTCTGACGATGCGAAAATGGCAGCCTTAGGGTCACTGCTGTGCACTTGGAGAAGCCTTCTACGGGACTTGTGCTTACTTAAACACTGCCACAGGCCAACCTTATCGTGACACTGTGGCCTATTGGTAACTCGTGAAAACTTTCTGTGCACGTTGGGTCACCAGTGAGAAGCTGTGCAGAGCCCAGCATGAGCTTCATTTCCAAGCTGCCACCTATCTCTGCCTTCTAGGCAGCATCCGAGAACATGTGGCCCTTCATCGACAATTTCATGGCAAGGGAACTTAGCCTGATGAGGGGTCTAACCAGTGCCCCCCTGCAATGGAAGTACAGACTCCTAACCACTGGATCACCATGGAATCACCCAAGAATTTGATTTTTTTAATCCATATTTAAATTAACAGGAATGATGTTTATAAAATTTGATACTAGGTAGGGCCACCCGAGACAGATGGGTCATGGTGGAGAGTTCTGACAAAACAAGGTCCACTGGAGAAGGGAATGACAAACCACTTCAGTATTCTTGCCTTGAGGACCCCATGAACAGCATGAAAAGGCAAAAATATATGAAACTGAAAAATGAACTCCCCAGGTCAGCAGGTGCCCAATACGCTACTGGAGAAGAGTGGAGAAATAACTCCAGAAAGAATGAAGAGATGGAGCCAAAGTGAAACCAATGCACAGTTGTGGATGTGACTGGTGATGGAAGTCAAGTTCGATGCTGTAAAGAACAATATTGCATAGGAACCTGGAATGTTAGGTCCATGAATCAAGGTAAATTGGAAGTTGTCAAACAGGAGATGGCAAGAGTGAACATCGACGTTTTAGGAATCAGCGAACTAGGATGGACTGGAATGGGTGAATTTAATTCAGATGACCATTATATCTATTACTGTGGGCAAGAATTCCTTAGAAGAAATGGAGTAGCCCTCATAGTCAACTAAAGAGTCTGAAATGCAGTACTTGGGTGCAGTCTCAAAAATGACAGAATGATCTCTCTTTGTTTCCAAGGCAAACCATTCAATATCATAGTAATCAAAGTCTATACCCCAGCCACTAATGCCAAAGAAGCTGAATGGTTCTATGATGACCTATAAAACCTTCTAGAACTAACACCAAAAAAAAAAAAAAAAGTCCTTTTCCATAGGGGACTGGAATGCAAAAGTAGGGATTCAAGAGATACCTGGAGTAATAAGCAAGTTTGGCCTTGGAGTACAAAATGAAGCAGGGCAAAAGCTAACAGAGTTTTGCCAAGAGAACACACTGGTCATAGCAAACACCCTCTTCCAAAAGCACAAGAGACAACTCTGCACATGGACATCACCAGATGGTCAATACCAAAATCATATTGATTATATTCTTTGCAGCCAAAGATGGAGAAGCTCTATACAGTCAGCAAAAACAAGACTGGGAGCTGACTGTGGCTTGGATCATGAACTCCTTATTGCCAAAATCAGACTTAAATTGAAGAAAGTAGGGAAAACCACTAGACAATTCAGGTATGACCTAAATCAAATCCCTTATGATTATACAGTGGAAGTGACAAATAGATTCAAGGGATTTGATCTGACAGACAGAGTGCCTGAAGGACTATGGATGGAGGTTCGTGACATTGTACAGGAGGCATGATCAAGGCCGTACCCAAGATAAAGGAATGCAAAAAGGCAAAATGGTTGTCTGAGGAGGCCTTACAAATAGCTGAGAAGAGAAGAGAAGCTAAAGGCAATGAAGAAAAGGAAAGATACCCATCTGAATGACGAGTTCCAAAGAATAGCAAAGAGAGATAAGAAAGAATTCCTAAGTGTTAAGTGAGGAAAACAATACAATGGGAAAGACTAGCGATCTCTTCAAGAAAATTAGAGATACCAAGGGAACATTTCACGCAAAGATGGGCACAATAAAGGACAGAAACGGTATGGACCTAACAGAAGC